AAACATATCAGCTATGTCCGCGACTACAGCAATAGGCTTTTCTCGAAAGCGCAACAGAACACCAACGAGCTGGGCAATCGTATCAGGTCCTTGATATAGCTTATCGTTCAAAGAATTAACCATAAAGGTTGCGGCGCAATCTATAACTATTCTCAGTTTATCTGGCTTTTTCGGCTTCATAACGGGATGATGTGGAAGATACCACCTCGAACGATAGTTTGCTGCTAGCCGCTTTGGGGGTACCGGAAGGGCATAACCATTTTTAACATCGTATTTATCCCAGCCACATATCGTGCTAAAAGGTTCTTGTCACACGATAACCTCTGTTTCAGATTGAGTAACGGCTTTATGGCGACTACATAATTATTGTCCGTTACCTTTGTTGGATCTTTCCATGGTAAGGGAATGATGTAATGCGCTTTTTCTAAGACGGTGCTTTGAGTAACAAACTCGATTACCTTACGATCTTCAATAGAAAATGAGTTTTTGTTTTCTTCAGTATCCTTAAGCTCAGCTTGATGTAGACTTCTGATGTCGTCTTTGATACTGTCTTCGCTGATTCGAGCGTAATTGACAGTGCCTCTTTTCGTATTTCCATGAGTTTTCCGTTCGTCGTCCTCGGCTAACTTCACATGCAGCTCGGCCATTTCGACATCATGTCTAGCCTTTAGCAACCTTTTCTCTAACTCTAACTCCTCTCGAAGCTGTTTCTCTTTTAGCTGCGCCCTTAGTAGCAACGACTTAGCACTAGTTACTCGCGATAATGATAATTTCGAACTACTGACATGAGAGCCGGGGCACGAAAGATTATCAACATGATCATTTATACGAACGGGGACTTGCCGACTCTCCGACTGCTGCTCCGAAATTTGATTCCCTGATCTGGTTTGCATTGTTCTAAAGACAATGTATTTTCAACAACGTTGCGTGCTGCCAATTCACCACAGGTTCTTCTCGATGAACGCTCAGTACTGACCATTTCAGTACGGGATTTTCTATTTGACGTTAAATACTGACCAGTTCAGTACGGTCTCGATCCCTTTAGCGTTATGTACTACGTTAAGTACTGCGTTAAGTACTGACCAGTTCAGTACGGGATTTTCTTCAATGACAATTCCTCTTTCGTTAAGTACTGAAAGCGCAATATTGCTTGAAATTAAGTCACGCGTAGATAAAGGCTATCCCGGTCCAGAACAAACAAGAAGCCGGTCACTGTTTCTACGGTACTATTAATAAACAAATCAATAATTATATATACAACAAACCTTAACGGTTTCAAGAGTACAAAGCACAACGCTTAACAGAAAGCAAGGTACCGCTATCAGAGCGGAATAACGTTAAAGCCAAAATTGCGAACTAGCCGGAACCAGACACGACCGTTCAGGTAAGCAGTCAGTAGAAGAATGAACCCAAGTAAGGCATGGCATAAAACAGAGAGCGTTTAAGAGAGATAGACCGAGCATAGGCACAAAGATAGGATTTAATTGGCTACTTTACCACGTAGGAAAATACAGATGAAAATCAATAAATAAGATAAACTCGACAGAATAGTACAAAGTTAGACATGGGTCAACAAAAATAACAGTTCACAAAATACTCTGATTGGGCCATGAGTTCAACTGTCTGACTAAACGGATCGAGGTAAAAACACATACACACAGTTCATTAAACAAGCAGGGATAGACACGTTAGGCATGGATAATTGGGTTGCAACAACGCTAGGCTGATCCGTGACAGGTTGACTTGATTCAAGGATGGGAATAGAATTGATCTTACAACGGCCCCCAAAATCCGACTAGGATTTTATGAATCATGTTATACAGAATAACCCTCGTGCCCGGCTCTCTTACAAATGACTTCCCTCTAGTAGGCATATCTTACGTATATCGCGCTTCACCTCGCCGTTTCTCGTTCTTATTGTAACCGTTCTGACAAGTCCGTCCGCGGATTGCTCGCATCCCGCAATAACTCCTCGCGGCCAACGCCTAGCCAACCATCTTGCCACCACAGAAATCGTAATGCTCGTCGATCGTCTACTGGCATCTTCACTTGTATAAACATATCAGCTATGTCCGCGACTACAGCAATAGGCTTTTCTCGAAAGCGCAACAGAACACCAACGAGCTGGGCAATCGTATCAGGTCCTTGATATAGCTTATCGTTCAAAGAATTAACCATAAAGGTTGCGGCGCAATCTATAACTATTCTCAGTTTATCTGGCTTTTTCGGCTTCATAACGGGATGATGTGGAAGATACCACCTCGAACGATAGTTTGCTGCTAGCCGCTTTGGGGGTACCGGAAGGGCATAACCATTTTTAACATCGTATTTATCCCAGCCACATATCGTGCTAAAAGGTTCTTGTCACACGATAACCTCTGTTTCAGATTGAGTAACGGCTTTATGGCGACTACATAATTATTGTCCGTTACCTTTGTTGGATCTTTCCATGGTAAGGGAATGATGTAATGCGCTTTTTCTAAGACGGTGCTTTGAGTAACAAACTCGATTACCTTACGATCTTCAATAGAAAATGAGTTTTTGTTTTCTTCAGTATCCTTAAGCTCAGCTTGATGTAGACTTCTGATGTCGTCTTTGATACTGTCTTCGCTGATTCGAGCGTAATTGACAGTGCCTCTTTTCGTATTTCCATGAGTTTTCCGTTCGTCGTCCTCGGCTAACTTCACATGCAGCTCGGCCATTTCGACATCATGTCTAGCCTTTAGCAACCTTTTCTCTAACTCTAACTCCTCTCGAAGCTGTTTCTCTTTTAGCTGCGCCCTTAGTAGCAACGACTTAGCACTAGTTACTCGCGATAATGATAATTTCGAACTACTGACATGAGAGCCGGGGCACGAAAGATTATCAACATGATCATTTATACGAACGGGGACTTGCCGACTCTCCGACTGCTGCTCCGAAATTTGATTCCCTGATCTGGTTTGCATTGTTCTAAAGACAATGTATTTTCAACAACGTTGCGTGCTGCCAATTCACCACAGGTTCTTCTCGATGAACGCTCAGTACTGACCATTTCAGTACGGGATTTTCTATTTGACGTTAAATACTGACCAGTTCAGTACGGTCTCGATCCCTTTAGCGTTATGTACTACGTTAGTACTGCGTTAAGTACTGACCAGTTCAGTACGGGATTTTCTTCAATGACAATTCCTCTTTCGTTAAGTACTGAAAGCGCAATATTGCTTGAAATTAAGTCACGCGTAGATAAAGGCTATCCCGGTCCAGAACAAACAAGAAGCCGGTCACTGTTTCTACGGTACTATTAATAAACAAATCAATAATTATATATACAACAAACCTTAACGGTTTCAAGAGTACAAAGCACAACGCTTAACAGAAAGCAAGGTACCGCTATCAGAGCGGAATAACGTTAAAGCCAAAATTGCGAACTAGCCGGAACCAGACACGACCGTTCAGGTAAGCAGTCAGTAGAAGAATGAACCCAAGTAAGGCATGGCATAAAACAGAGAGCGTTTAAGAGAGATAGACCGAGCATAGGCACAAAGATAGGATTTAATTGGCTACTTTACCACGTAGGAAAATACAGATGAAAATCAATAAATAAGATAAACTCGACAGAATAGTACAAAGTTAGACATGGGTCAACAAAAAATAACAGTTCACAAAATACTCTGATTGGGCCATGAGTTCAACTGTCTGACTAAACGGATCGAGGTAAAAACACATACACACAGTTCATTAAACAAGCAGGGATAGACACGTTAGGCATGGATAATTGGGTTGCAACAACGCTAGGCTGATCCGTGACAGGTTGACTTGATTCAAGGATGGGAATAGAATTGATCTTAGAATAATGTTTAAATAAAATACACATGTTTTCCTACCTGTATAGGACACACCGAATGTACAGGCATGGATATGCGTTGTTGAGACTTCATAAATTTGGTTTATGGTTAAATTACATGGTTGCTGACGTTTTTGTCTCTTTGTGGTTTGTGGGAACAATATGATAACCAGTCATTCAATGGAGCACATCATGAAATATAGGAATATTGACTTCGCATTAACAAGAAAACCCAAGTATGTTTTGGATGGATTAAAAATACTTGGGAAAAAATAAAGCTTCAAGTAATTCCACAATATAACTTAGGCGTGTACAAATCCGAATCTTCTTTTTGATTTATATCCAAATTGGGTAATAAGAAAGCTATTTTTACAGATACGATCAGTCATGTTATAAGTTACAATCGTGACGTTGTATTACAAATTAATACTTTTCCATTGACATAAGAGTATATTCCACAAATGTAATTCAGGTAGCGCCGTGGGGAAAGTTAATTCGTTATTAACTAGGCAACTGGAAGATATGGGACCAATAATGTTTGCAGATCATTTGTCATTGTAAATGGTCAGACATCCACATTATTCATTTTCATTCAAAAAGTCAAATGGAAGCTAAAATGGTGAGAGAAAAAAGAAAACAAACAACAGCAAAGCAAAAGAAAGCAAGAAGAGTCCTTAACGAGTGATTAATAAATATATACATATATATTCTGTTTAGTAACTATGGTTATTTTTGTCTACTAACTAACTAGTCCCGTTATACCAACTTTTATATTATGTGTGAACTAATATTACTGTCCTGTGTAGAAATGTTTCTCATCTAGTTCCAATAATATTAAAATTCATAAATGTAGTTTGTTGAAGCTACACGTTTATTCAACTTAAAATATTTATCAAATAAACTGTAGTCGAGATTTGACAGAATAGTTCTATAATATTTGGGTGCCGAGTGAGAAGTAGACATTTGTAAAATATTATATTTGTAAACTCTCAGCGATATTGAAATGAGTAATTCCAACGTTTCGTTCGGCAATCTGCTCCGAACTTCTTCAGGGAAATTAATCGAAATTTACATAACAGGTTTATATATAAAAGGAACATCTTTTAGTTTCAAAAGCATTGTCCAATCATGATTTATAAAACAAATAATAACAAGTATAATAAACAAAAATGTACGAGTTGTGATCAAAATTTGACCTCAGACTTACAAATATTGATCTATCTTTGTTAAACATTTAAAACACATTACTTTGTTTAAACACAGTGTGTGTATGTGTGTGTGTGCGGATAAACAGTTGTAAAACAATGTCTTAACGTCTCCATAAGTAGATATAGACAGTCATCTAACATCACACCTTCATGTCTGTTCAAACTGTTAGTATCTAGAATTTTATGATTAGACGTATTTTCAAAATTATGGTGTTTAGGATTAGAGTTTAGTTGAACAACCCCGTCAAACTTATTGCTTTGTCTTCTTTCTAAAAGTTGAGCGGCTTTGTTTGACCTACTAAAGTTGTCAGGTGACTGGACAGCTACGAATTTAGGATACGCATTCCGCTGCAGACAACAGAGATTGGAAACTTGTTATGTTAATTTCGATTATTTCCCTGAAGACGTTCGGAGCAGATTGCCGATTGGAATTACTCATTTTAATATCGCTGAGATTTTACAAATATAATTTTTTACAAATGTCTACTTCTCACTCGGCACCCAAATATTATAGAACTATTCTGTCAAATCTTGACTACAGTTCATTTGATTTATTTTGTAATCGAATTAAATTAACAAAGAAACAATGTAATTTGCATAATCATCGTGTTTCTACTCTCCGTTGTCTGCAGCAGAATGCGGGCAGCCTGTATACGGCCATAGGTCATTTGATCAGCTGATGGATATTGGCGTTATTTTTGGAAAAGACGTCAAGGTTAGGTCATTTTTCGTTGTTTTACACACTTTTTTACCTATATTCCTCCTAAAAGTTGATGAAATACGGCGTATTTAGCAGGAATAGGCAATGGTGTTGTTCTTAACCGGCCGTAACTTACAGGCAGTTTACGGTTTATTGAAAAACGTACTTTTTCGTTCAGAATATGTCGAATTACTTGAAGACACATGTTATAACGACCATTTCGTGATTTTTTTTCGCATTTTAATGGATTACACATGGACATGATGAGGTGGGATAGCTCGTTTAGGTAATTATTTCAATTATTTTGTTGTGTACTTTTCCTAATGCTGACAAGGCTGCTCCACATGTATTTCTTTAAGAAAAGTGTGCAGAAATACTAAGAAATTATGTACGCACAGTATTTCCTCATTTAATGGCATAAACTTGACGTTTGCAGGCAGATGCAATATCGATTTTGTATTATTGAAAAATGTTTACTGACGTATTTATATATAATTCAACTAATTATTTCGTCATTTCAAACATATTTAATGCTTAATTATTTCGTTTACACTGATAATAATGTCTACATGTGTATAATTCTTATGTTCTTTTTCAGATAATATCTACTTTCGGGAATTTCATGGATTTGGGTGATAAAGAAAAAGATACCTGCACTGTTGTTGATTTTGTATTACATGTTAATTCATTAATAAATGTACTCCTCGTTATTCGTTTGTTTATTTTACTTGATAATACCGAATATTAGCCCTTGCGTAATTTGTGAGGTATAGAGTACATGAGACTATCTTTGAAATCCTATGTAGAAGCAGATATTCGAAGAAGCCTATTGGTAAAAGATTATGTTGTAGTCAAATAAAGTAAGTATGTCTAAATCGTAGAGGAGGTATTGCGATTATGAAGCGTTCCGAGTTATCTATCGTCTTAGCAGAATACATATAATGATTCGCGATTCATAGTCACGAAGTGAGAGTAAATCTACCTGAGGTAGTTTGCTTGTGATTTCTGCATGTCGCAGTGTACCATAAGGACAGACTATACCTATGCTGTTAAATGTATAACTCTGTGCAACTAAGGTTATCGTAATAATTAAAAACAGAATGCCTAAGGTCCTCGGCCACGGAACACGGTACGTTGCTATCTTCTCATATAATCACGTAAACAAAAGTCTTCCATACGTCGCATTTACTCCTAACAGTTTACCCTCAACTTCTAACTTAGCACGTGTTACTTATGTTACTGGAACACAATCGTATTACAACAGAAGGAACACAGATTCATTGAAAAATTGTTTATTAAACAAAAATCAGATTTCAAATGTACATATAATTCAGATGAGTAGTCCTCTGTTACCATCAGTAAGTTCCGTCTGCGTACACGGTACGTATATGTTTTTCCATAAGTCTGAAAAGGTATAAGAAAAGCATAATTAACTTGGGTATTAAATGTATGACCTGAATAAAAAATTTTTCCTGATAAGCACTTACAAGTAATCACTTTAGGAACAATATATATATATATATATATATATATATAAGTAGCCCAATAGTTTTCACTTAACTTAAGGGATTTCGCAACTTATCGTTGGTCGATATCTAGTAGGTCCATCGAAGCACTATGAAATGATAAAATTATTTAACGACAAGTAATGCAGTAGTTTTCAAAGTTTGTGCAAATATTTTAGCAAAAATGACAACGACTTTATGACAAATGATAGGTCAGCAATAATAATAACATTCATGTTCATAGTGACTATAAAAAACAATAATAGGTATTATTATCGCAACGAATTCATCATTAGCTTAGATAGACAACTAATAATAATACAACCATACCAAATAAATTTATCACTTAATCTTAAGAACCATGTGTTTACTTACTTTCACTGTATTCTCTCAATACTGATGTGCTCAACCAGCTTATTCCAACTGAATTTAAGATTAATTCTGAAAGTGAGTGAAGATCCAGTTTATGTCAAATAAAAACATGTACCTTACATGTATTGCACTGCTTACTGAGACACCTGATACCTGCTTTCCTATCTTCATGAAAAGAACACAGATTATCTAGGTTTATTGACATATATGTGATATCCTCGTCAGTTCCGCCGCCTGTAGTTGAAACGATGCTTCCCATGTCGGTAGGTAAAGGAGGTTTTTTCTTTCAGGTTCTTCCCACTTATGCTGATTGTTGTCTGTTGTTGTTGTTGATGTTGGCTAGGAATCTTCATCGTCTCTGTTTTTTCTATGTTCACTTGAAGTCCTATCTTCTCCGGATGCTTCTTCCGCCAACTTGTTACTTTTCACTTGCATATCTTCCAGTTTATGGGAAATCAGACATATATCATCGGCGAAATCCAGATCCTCCAAGTCTTTTGTGTAAGTCCATTTTATGCCTGTTCTCTCATTGGTTGCCGTTGTCTGTCGCATTATCCAATCTACTGCAATCAGGAAGATCATTGGTGATAGTAGACAGCCTTGCCTCACTCCCGTCCTCACTTCGAAGGCTTCCGTGAGTTTCCCGTTGTGGATTATTTGGCATGCAGCATTGTCGTATAACTGTTGGATGAGATGTATAATTGTCGATGGGACCCCGTAGTAGCGAAGTAGTTGCCAAATGACCTCTCGATCGACGCTGTCGAAGGCCTTTTCAAAGTCGATGAAGTTGAGATAGAGAGGTGACTGCCATTCCAAGCTTTGTTCAATGATGATCCGTAGAGTGGCGATTTGATCAATACATGATTTGTTTCTCCTGAATCCAGCCTGTTCCGGACGAAGTTTTTCATCTAGGGCTTGTTTGATTCTCTCCAGGATGATGCGACTTAGTATCTTGCTTGGAATGGACAGAAGCATAATTCCACGCCAGTTTTTACATTGACTTAAGTCTCCTTTCTTTGGAAGTTTGAATAAGTATCCGTTCTTCCAATCCTCGGGTACTTTGCCCTCTTTCCACACCTTCTCCAGCAGTGGTGTCATCAAGTCCGCTGTTGTCTCTGGGTCTATTTTCAAAGCCTCTGCTGGGATTCCATCTGGTCCCGGTGTTTTCCCAGCTTTTAGCATCTTGATTGCATTCAGGACTTCTGATTTCGTCGGGGGGTCAGTGTTCACTGGTAGTTCTGCTTCCGTTGTTGGTATTGTTGGGCGTGTTGTAGGTGGCGGACGATTTGGAAGTCTTTTGAAGTGTTCAGCCCAGTGCTTTCTCTGTTTCACCTCTTTGGTGATTGACTTTCCATGGTCGTCCTTTATTGGCTTAATCTGTGTCGAACGTTTGCCCGAAAGGTGCCTAGTTGTTTGGTAGAGTGTGGCGAGGTCTCCTTTGCCTGCAGCTTGTTCTGCTTCGTTTGCCATGGTTTCATAATATTTTCTTTTGTCTTCCCTGGCACTCTTCTTCACTCTTTTGTTCAGTGTATTGTAGCTTGCATTCAGCTCCTGTTTTTGTTGCTCATCAGTGCACTGGATAATCTATTGTTTCACTGTCCTTCTCTCTTCTATTAGTTTCCAATCTCGCATAGATGGTATATTATCATTTCTCACGCACTTTTTTATTGACTATTACGATCAATTATTTCAAATGCTGTTAGCTGTCTATATTGTTGTAAAATGTATAAATACCATGACTTTCTTTGTCGTTGTTGTTGTACTACAATACACAGTCACAGTCCAGTCTTTGTCTTTTGATATTTGCGTGCTTCACTGAATCGAAATGTACCACAAGCAGATAGGCATATTAGTCAGGTGCAGACAGAACAAGGCGACAACGTCCTCATTTAATTCCATACAGTTATAACAAATTGGCGACGGGTTTTACCTTAATTTATTGCAGCTATAACAAGCAGGCGACGACAGGTTTTATTCTGTTCAGCGCAGCTATAGAACATTTTTGACTGTGTTAATTACAGCCCCAATTACAATGTCTATCTCTCTGGACGATCTCAAATCTATCTTGCAGCAGCAGCAGGTTCAGAATGAAGCAGCTCAACTAAAATTAATCGAAGCTCTCACTCAGAAGCTGTCCATTCAAGTTCCATCAACATCTCATTCAGACAAATATGAAAGCATCTCAAATTCCATCAGTGAGTTCAACTACGACCCAATATCTGGTCTCGTATTTGATGCATGGTTCAATCGTTACGAAGACGTTTTCCGTATTGAATGCTACATGTTTGATGATGCTGCCAAAGTCCGATTGTTACTAAGAAAACTTGGTACTGTTGAGCACAACAGATATGTTAACTTCATTCTGCCCAAGAACCCACGTGAGTCATCATTCGATGAGACAGTCACCGTTTTATCACAAATCTTTGGTGAACAGCCATTCATGTTTAATATTCGGTATCAATGATTTCAGTTGACAAAAATGCCTTTCGATGATTATGTCACTTACGCTGGCAAAGTGAACAAGGAATGTGAAAGGTTCAAACCACACGAAATGACATCAGATCAGTTCAAGTGTTTGATTTTTATTTGTGGGTTGAAGAACCCAGAAGGTACTGACATAAGAACTCGACTTCTGTCACTCGTGGAACAAGACCCGAAAATGACTTTACAAATGGTGACAGCAGAATGCCTACGCTTAATCAACTTGAAGCACGATACTGCTATGGTGGAGTGCAAACGACAGTCGTCTGAATTTGGTTCAATTAACACAGTGAAAAGTCCTCCGATCACCGTTAAGCACACAGAACGTCAGTCTCAGAATTCAGCTAAACCTCCTTCAGTGTGCTGGCACTGTGGTTTGTGGCATTTTGTCAAGTTCTGTCCTTTCAAGAAGCATAAATGCCGTAATTGTAACCGTTTTGGACATAGGGAGGGTTACTGTCCACCGCAGAAAAATCCTTCAGTGAGGAACGGAAATAGTCGTTTCAAGCTGAAACAATCTCCTCGAGTACAGACCATTTTCACAACTTCCAAAGTCGATTTCGCCAGCAAACGTAAGTACATTACACTAGGTATTAACGGCAAACATATTCGTCTTCAGTTGGATA